TTCCGTTTAAAGCTTTCGAGCACACTTCTTTCAACGGTCAACGACGAATTGAAACTAAAACGAATTCTACTCAAAGAGGCTCGAAGGAAATAATGAAATAACGAAATTTAAAGATACTAAAGAGAATAAAAACATAGGCACAATTAAGAGTTGCTGCATTTTCCATTGGAATTGATAAACTATCAAAGCTATTTGGACGCTGGGGCGTATACCACAGTTGACAAAAAAATTTAGCAAAAAACATACATCTGCTTTTGGTGCACAAGTATCAGTTCAGCCAACATTTTATTTTTTTATTTGTGTGTGATAAATATTCTTTCTCTGTTCGGTTATATTACACTAATACTGAATAATTTATTTATCTTTACACAAAAACCATGCATTATAAAAAAAATATACAAAACCGGCCAGTTAAGTCATAATATGGATAAGCTATTCAATGTGACAGAAACAAAGGCTTTTGTATGAGTAGTGTGCATTCCTAGTTACCAATTAAAGATTTATTTCTAAGCAATGCCATCATTAGATATAAGAGGAAGAAGATAATTACAATTTTTTTATTACATTCTTGGGATGACAGAGGTTTGAATGGGTTCATTTTCAAAATCATTTTAAAAAAGTTACGTATCTACAGCTGTTGACAGCTAATTAGAAATGCCACATATTTTGAAATAAGTGCAGTTTATTTTATTTGATGTTATTTTCCAATAAATCATGTATTTATACTGTATTTTCACTTATTTTATTGAAACCTATGTTACTTGTAAACATTTTGTTTAAAATTCGTTTTTGTTATGAAGATTTGAACTCAAACATGTGGAAGCAACGATTTGAGTGCGACAACTAATTAGAAACGAAAATATTTTATAAGCAAAAAATAATGATCTGACAAAAATTTGCTTACTTTCAGTTAGTATTTTGTTGCTTAACACTTATACTTCAATATGACTTCATATTCGCTGAGAATTGACGTTATTAGACTTTGACAGCATACCGCTGGTGTTGTTAGCCATGTCGTCCTTATATTATCAAAAAGAAATTTAATATTTGGGGTATTTTTGGTACCAACGATGGCAACTCCAAAACATTGATATTCATCAAAACACGTTTGTGTCAACTTCGCAAACAAATTTTCCTCACCTCAAAACAATATTTTTTGAGCATTTGGCCTTTTTCGAAATTTCTTTGTACATCTTTCCAGACCGACGAAGGTCAAAATGTATGTGCGAAGTTGGAGGTGTTCAGCTGCAGCTTTTCTTCTTCTTCTTGATTGGCGTAGACACCGCTTACGCGATTATAGCCGAGTTAACAACAGCGCGCCAGTCGTTTCTTCTTTTCAATAACTGGCGACAATTAGATATTCCAAGCGCATCCACCTGTGCGTTTTCGGACAACATGACCTAGCCAGCGTAGCCGCTGTCTTTTAATTCGCTGAACTATATCAATGTCGTCGTATATCTCATACAGCTCATGCAATATTCGCCGTGGCCAACGCGCAAAGGACCATAAATCTTTCGCGGAACTTTTCTCTCGAAAACTCGCAACGTCGACGGTGGGAATTATGAGTGACTTATAGAGTTTGGTTTTCGATCGTCGAGAGAGGACTTTACGAATGCGATATTCGCCGTGGCCAACGCGCAAAGGACCATAAATCTTTCGCAGAACTTTTCTCTCGAAAACTCGCAACGTCGACTCATCAGTTGTTGTCATCGTCCAAGAATCTGCACCATATAGCAGGACGGGTATTATGAGTGACTTATAGAGTTTGGTTTTTGTTTATCGAGAGAGGACTTTGCTTCTCAATTGCCTACTCAGTCCGAAGTAGCACCTGTTGGCAAGAGTTATCCTGCGTTGGATTTCTAGGCTGACATTGCTGGTGGTGTTTACGCTGGTTCCAAGATAGACGAAATTATCTACACCTTCAAAGTTATGACTGTCAACAGTGACGTGAATGCCAAGTCGCGAGTGCGACGACTGTTTGTTTGATGACAGGAGATATTTCGTCTTGCCCTCGTTCACTGCCAGACCCATTTGTGTTGCTTCCTTGTCCAGTCTGGAGAAAGCATAACTAACGGCGCGGGTGTTGAGGCCAATGATATCAATATCATCGGCATACGCCAGCAGCTGTACACTCTTATAGAAGATGGTACCTTCTCTATTTAGTTCTGCGGCTCGAACTATTTTCTCCAGAAGCAGGTTGAAAAAGTCGCACGATAAGGAGTCGCCTTGTCTGAAGCTTTTATCTCATTAAAAAACTTGAATAATACTTTTTAATTTTTTAAACCACAACTTTGAAGCACACTCTTACCAGAAATCAATAATGTTATTAATAAAAATTAACACCTTTAGGAATTTTAATTCTTTGACCAACTGTTTCTAATTTGCTGTTGCACCTAATTCTCCTTCTATATCGTAACACTTTTACTGTATGGGAAAAAATTAAAAGAAAAACGACAAAACTGAGCGAATTTAGTAGTTAATAGAATAGAGTAACACAAACAATGCAAGGCTTTTAGAAATGTAAATAACGGTATTTCAAAACATTTTATCATTATACTTATCTGCACTTTTGCGTTGCTAATTGGCTCTCAACAGCTGTATTTACTATGAAAATTATATTCTAAAGTATTCTAAGTCGCTGGACTTTTACTGCGGCCAATAATTCCAGATTATGTCTTTGATTACAAAATTTAAGGGGTCAGTAGAATAATTTTTTTTGTTTTCTTTTTTTGCATTTTCTGTTCCCTTATCCCCTAGAATTAATGTAGAAACCCACTTTACCATTGGAAGGTTTCGAAAAAGACCCATAAATATTAATACCGCACGACGTTCCAGGCGCTCGGAGTGCACAACTCATACTTTAAACTCGTTTTTCTCAAAACACACTTTTTTAAACCGGCAAACATGATTCCGGTCGAACTACTCAACCGATTTCCTTAATTTTTTTTTAATGTTCACAAAACGCCTGGCTATAGTCCCTATATTTGGTATAATTTATTTTCATGTTATGACAAAATTTATGTAAGAAAAATTAAAACAAAAGTTAATTAATTTTTTATTTATCAAGATTTTTTCATAACTCTAATAGGGACGATAACCATTCACGTACTTTTTAAGAATAAATTTAGTTTTTGTGTTTCAGATAACCAAATATGAGAAATCGTGTCCGCCAGTGAAAAAATGCATCTCATTCACCCAGCCATTTATCAGACAGATGTCATCAAAAAATTCCGAAAAAATTTGTTTATACACTCCAAGATATATCTCATGATGTGTGAAAATTTTTTTATTGTAGAATAAAAATTTCTATGAAAAAAAGGTCAAAAAACAGGGCAGATTACCCTACTAACCCGTTAAAATATTTATTGGATCAAAATCTTTTCATACAATTTTTATTTCGTCTGTTTAATTTAGGGGCGTATAGCGAGCTTATTCATAATTTTATATGGAGGGAGGTTACTTTGTCTCTTATTCCAATATTCACAATCATGGAGCTTTAAATCGGCAGTCAATGACGCAGCAATAGTCAAATCATCAGCACTAATATGTGATCATAATACATACTAACTATATCGCTTGTGATTCTTTACAGCAATATCTATTATTTGACATTTCCGATGCCAGTAGCTTATTATATACAAAACATATACATATAGTATTTCCCACCAAACTCAGAATGAGGTACTTAGTTTAATTGAAACAAGAAACAAATTAAGAAGCATCAGATCTCAGTTGTACCGACAAAAATCGCAAAATTGTCCTAAGAGTTAGCGACTAATTGTTACAATCTATCAGGAAAAAATACCGATATAGTACCGTTTATAAAGCCCATGTGTAGGAAAGTTTCGGTTAGATTCGCCAATTCGTCTTCAACAAACTCTTAAAAACATTTTAAAAAATATCTGGTATTGGGACACCGACTAGTGGCTTGCAGGGTATGTAATTATAACCAATTATTACTACCAATAAATTTGTACATGTGGTATAGTATAGACCCTACAGCATTTTAGCTTGTTTCAAAAGTATCTAATAATTAATTTCTAAATATTATAAATTCATTAAAAGTTTAGAATTATCAGATTACCGGAGATACTTTAAAGTGTTAGMAAAAATTTGTCATAACATTTTTTTTCTAAGAATTCAACATGATTATCTTAATAACCAGAACGGATTATGAATCTATTTGGTATATTCTTAGTTTGAACTTGCATAGTTATGGTCTTATTTCGTTTATTTTTGGGCGTAAGATCACATAACTTAAATTCATTTTATTTGAATAATTGTATARCGTCGWCGATTTATATACTGTAAAGTGAAAGAATTATTCCAACTTTAAAATATCATTTATGCAAACTAAGCGCAATTGTAGCCTGATTTCCGATTTATTCTATTTTCAGTGTTTGAATTAAATGTCTATCTCCATTAATTTTAGGTGTGAAAAATAACTATTAGGTGAACAAAACTTATATTTTACGTAGCAACATGTTGCAAACGTATAATAAATGTAACAAAAAGTAAACAAAATTACTCATATTRATCCTTTAAAATTTAGTAAAGGCATTCGGTGAAACTAAACAATAWAGGAAAGGTTTTTCATTGACGCGATCAGAACCTATTGTTACTTTTGAAAACAATACGCACAAATAGCTAGTTTTTCAGATCTCATGGCATAACTCATTCACTTGTAAAAAATTAATATTAATAGTTTAAACTTATATTATTAATTAGAATCACTGCATTGCATTTATTACACTACATTAATTTATCTCGTACCTTTCGTGTCTTTTTCCTTCGACTATATGGTGCAAGATGGGCTAGATTGAAATATTACTTTAAATCTTATAGTTATGAGTATTCAAAAGTATTTCCACAGAGCCACAAAGAACCAAGAACTAATTTGAATTTCTCACTGCTACAAATGATATCAAGTAATAAAATAACACGCAATTTTCTTACTGGGTATTATTACCTATGAGTGTACATAAATATGTATTACTTACAAAGAATTCATCCTCTATGACGGGATCGGCAAGCATCTCAATGGCTTCAGTCATCGAACGGCACGTTCTATTAGTATTCTTTTTCTTCTTTAGTTTACGGCCCAAAGTGGCAGCGTCACTAAACCGATGAAGAAGTTTCTCACGCTTTCGCACACCAGTAGGGCTGGACGCGGAGTTGGAATGACATAGCAGCGATGAGTAATTATTGTTGTTGCTGACCATTGTATAGGTCTCTGAACTCCCTCTCGTGTTTTCATAAAAGTTCGGCAATTGATATTGGGCGGTTGGTGTTAATCCGGTAATCGAATCGAGTTTTTGGATTAGATTATAATCAGACTGCTTGTAATTACTAGGTAGGGGAGGGGTGGGTGAGACGTTTTTTATTGGCGCTAGTTGAGTCGGTTTTGGTGGTGGAGGCGGAGGAGGATCTTTCATAAGTGATATCCGACGTGGAGCAGCACGTGGCAACGAACCAACATCGCGACTTGTACCAACATAGCTAACTGCTCGTCGATTGCGATCGTTTTCCTTTTCTCTATAAGTATAAAAATAATTTGCATAAATAAATATATATTATTTTTACAACTAATATTTTATGTAGACCTAAARCGTTTATAAGACACATTTATAAACATATCTGACCTAGAACGTATTCGTTGTGAAGGTGTATTAGTTACAACGGATACAAAGTAACCAAGCTCTGACGGAGACATCATCAGGAAAGAACGACGTTGCGACGTTCTGCTGTTTTGTTCCCGATCTAACCTTTTTCCTCGTAGAACGTCGTTATATATTTTGATTTCAATTCTTGAACCTTGTGAGCTTAGCGAGGACATGCTGTCATAAGGCGTTTCATCGGAATTGTCGTCGGTAGAACACTCTGGTACAGTATAACATATAAAATTATGAGCTTCATAATTTATGTTTGCCATCGCCTTCAACAATTATGTATGTGTGTTTTTGTAACAAATTTATTATAGTCGGTCGGTAGGTCGGTACAGAGAGTTACTCCGATAAATTACATTTTGATCAATCTATGAGTGAAAGACGATTTTGTTTATTTGAATAAAGTTTTGTCCTATTAAAATAACAAAAAGTATTTTTCACTGATTAGCAAAATTTTATTTTTTAGTATTATATTACATTGTAGTAATCGCGCCATTTGAACATTTATGATAATTGCAGAATATGACGTTATTTCATTTTATTTAGTCATTTACGGTTCTATATATAGAAAAATAACTTTTCCATGGAATTTCACGCTATCGTTATGCCATTTATGGAATATTATTAAAGAAATAACTACATATCACCTGAAATGCAAAATAATGTAACAACATTTTCGGAAATTTACAGTGGCATGAATGAAACACGAAAAAAATGGCATGTTCCGTGAAAAACAAATTTAGAATTGGTTAAAACTGGTTTATATCTGAGTGCAGAACCTGAAAATGCTGGATGTATGTAATATTATGTATGTATATAATTTGAAGTAGTGAATCGTAATCAATAAGACACTCAATTTCAATTTTTTTGATGATATGTTATTTTGCATTTGTGAAGTCTTTCCTTGCAGGATCAGTTGTATATACATATGTAATAACATTTCGTTAAAATATACGATAATTTTTTTTATTTGTCTGATAATATATTTATATATATTCAACTTAATTTGGTTAGATTAAAAAATGTATATATACATTAATTAAATATAATACATAACCGTAAGTGCATATATTTCAATAAAAAAACTCTTCACTGAAAATAAGTGAGCTCACTGTGACAGGCTGTATGAATTTCCTGTGAGATTTTCATTCATATAAGTACGTTTTTGTATTATTTTTACACTAGATCACAAACTACTCTACGGGCCAGATGGTAAATGGAGTACGTATTATCATGGACTTTATACTCTCACGATTCATATTTATATACATATACTTTTACTTATATATAAATATATATACACATTTGACACAGAGAGATTAAACGTTTAGAAGAATTACTAGTAACTAGTATGTCGGACACATATTCCAACTGGCAGTTGCTTACAAACTAAAGATATTTAGAAAAAATCACATGCAGCATCCTAAATAAAAATATATATCAGCGCTTGAGTCTGTACATAAAATATACTGGGTTATATATAATACGAATTTATTTTCGTATTTACCCATGTCTGTAKATATTCGTGTAAGGCACGAGAGGAAATGAGCTATTGTGTGGTGACAGTGAGCATCGGACATTGGTAGCCTGAACTGAGAAAACGTTCATAGAGAGCATAAATGTAGACTAGGTTATTTCTTAACAGTGGAACAGATTAGGTACGTAGGAAATCTAAATTAAAAATTATAATAATGAAAGTAAATAGTCAAAATTTGCACTTTTGTTCATGAAACCCCAAAAACAATTTTCTTTATCAGCGACAATACTTTCGGACAAATACATTTGCATTATCATATGCTTTACTCAATATAATTTCTTATACATTACCGCTAGTGGGTGATAGAAAATATATCAAGTGAGGATATTTTCATTGTGATGTATTTTCATACAATTTTTAAATCTAACTTATCTATTTACATGGGCTTGTTTTTAATTGTACAACTCCATATGTATGTATGTTCATATGTATATTTTACCATATGAATTATTTTCAAGTGGACATATTTATAATGCTTAAATGTAAGAAACATTATTTTATCAATGCACACATATATTTATGTATGCATGCGTAAAATGCAAAATCGCATTTTACATATTTGTTTTTGAATGTATGTTTTGTATTCTCCTAGAATATTCTATGACAAGCATGCTCAAACATATTTAAACATAATGTACCAAGTTCTTAAGGTTTTAAATTGCATCCTCTATTCGATTTAAAATCAGATAGATTTAAATTATTGTAAAAAATCCAAGGTGCGTTGTTGAATATAATATTATTGTCTTTTATCTGCAATGAAAACATACTTTCATACATACATACAAATAAAAAATACTTTCAGGTGTAGCAAAACCTTGTATTAAAAGATGTTACATAGAAATTTCAACCAAGGACGCTAAGTTTATTACATTTGGTATTTGAGAAAATCATCAAATAGAGGAAGGTTTGGACTGATTGCATCAACTTTTGACGTTACGCAAGTCTACTAGAGAACATGTTCTAACGCAAGTTCCACTTATGGGAACTGACAAAATTTTTAGACCGATTTCAAACAGTTTTAGCATTAAACTACAATACGTTATGTATTACATTCCATTAGTCCATTTTAGGACGTTTTTAAGAAAAAATATTACTTGTAGATAAAAACAATCGTTAAGTGTACTCTGTTATATATATGTATATATATATTATATATATATGTTATATATGTTCTGTCTCTTATACACATCTAGATGTGTATAAGAGACAGAAAAAATATCACACATATATACATACTTATATATATTGAGAGATTATACAAATGTGTTTCCTCAGAAAATGTTTCCTGTATTTCTTTATAACTAGCTTCTTGACTTGCTTACAAATGTAAGGCTCTAAAGTTAGTGTTTTCTTCAATTATTGACTTTATTTTGCAAATTACACATCTCTAACGTTAGATAATTTAAAATAACGCACTTTTTCAGTTAGCAAACTTTTAAAGTAGCAATTCCCTCGAACATTTGAGCAATATTAGTAAATATATTAGTACAAGTGGAATATGGTTAATGTTAAGTCAAATTTAAAAGGGTATAACAAATTTTTTCTTAGCGAAATCAAATTCAAAAATCCAAAAAATGTGCTTTCTGTCAAAGTGAAGCTTAAAAATACCAATTTTTTCAGGATTCAGTTCAAACAATTTGTTAATATGTATGTATATACCACTGTGATCAAATTGAAACGTGAATTTTGCTCATTTCATCTCCTTCAAAGTAATCCCCTCCCGCTGCAATATATTTTTGCCAAAGAATTTTCCAATCATCATAGCACTTGGAAAAATACTCCGTTGGGATGGCCATCAGACCTTCTTCCATTCAGCTTTTATATCCTCAATTGAGTCAAAACGGTGTCCTCAGTGTGGTCATGTGAATTTGCTGAATACCCAGAAGTTACGCGAAGGTAAATCAGGCGAATGCGATGATTGTGTCACGATATTAGTTGAAAATGTGGCCAAATGATCACGAACGAATGTAGTATGAGATGGTGCAATTCTTTGTTTAATAAATTCAGACATAGTAAAAATCGAAGAATTCACTTTTAGAGCCTCACAAAACGACACGTATCTCAAATACTAATGAATATTTTGACGTGGAGTTTAGCATAAATGTCATTAAAAATTCACCTTTCAATTTGATCACAGTAGTAGTTCTGAACATTTAAAAATTCTTCTTTTTATACAGATCATGTCATGATGAAAGGCAATGTAACTCTTCTATTTAGGTAGATAACCTAACTTTCTAACTTTCACTCCCCGTTCATTACGTAGCGTTGAATAAATTATGTTCACACCTTTTCGATGGCTAAACATTTGGCTCCACTCAAGCAGTACATATAAAAAATTTCTTGTCGAAAAATCGAAAGTTTTTTTTGCGCAAACTGAGCAAACGATATATTACAATATTGCACATAGGAATACACATTAATATGTATACCTACAATTAAGCGAGTAAATTAGTGAAAGTATATTAATAATGCCTGATAGAGGACTCACAAAAATTATAAATTCACTCACATATTAAAATACTTGATTGTGTGTTTAGTGTGTATTTAGTTTGAAAAATGTTTTGTTTTCGGATAACACAAGTTTCATATTGAGAAGGCCAAAACGTTGTTTATTCGATATTCATGAATATTTACATATATATGTATGTATGGTAGTTTTATTCACATGAAAAAAGTAGCCAAAGTCGAGGTTATCGAAAAATTCTGTATAGTTTAAAAGTAAAATAGAAAATGTTTCTGCTATCAATATTTGAATGGAATGGATGGTTGGCTTATGAATAAGAAAAATGTTATTATAATATTTAATTATGCTACATATTAGTGGATCCAGCCACGCTTTGCTGTGACATTTATGTAATAAACTATTCAATACAGTGAACATTTTATTTACGAATATAAGGTTCTGTCGGTATAAGAATCAAAGGGATTGTACTCGAGGTTTAATTTTTAATATGTTCATACAAATACATTTAATAAGGCTTTTTTCTCAATGTCTGGTTACCAGCCATTCTGTCCAGTTAATAGAGTTGTCCGTGTAAAAGATTGTACTTAAAAAGCATGTGCATAGTTAAAAGAGATGTTCGCTTAATAGACCAATTTATAGAGCTTTCACTGTATTTTTTATTTATGAATTGTTTGTGCTGACGTGTTTTTTAATCGCGGCTTTTCTTTTGTGCTTTACGCTTTATTCGCATATTCCTTTTTGCATATGAGTGCACGTGTTTTCGTTTTACTTTGATCGTACGGTTACTCGCGTAAAAAACAGTTCATATTAGTGAATATCTAATTTATTATGGCCCCAGGGCCGCCTAACCTCGGGGAAAACAGGTTTGCTTTGCTGGCCTCTAGCCGCAACCCCAAAAGGAAAAAACTTACATGCAAACCACTTGAAAATTTTCCAGAACTGCCTCAAATTAAAAAAGATTGCCCAAGTTTGTTCTAATATCTGCAGCAGATTCGAACAAAACACTTTCCAAATACTCTTGCTTCGCTGTGCAAAAAAGTTTAGAATCAATAAGTAAGGAAATTTTGTCTATCACCGAATTACATGATGGTAATTTACCCTTACTCGTTAAAAATTGGAAGATCGCTGAAAAATTTTTTACAACAAAAAAATTAAATGGAATTTGCGATATTAAAGTTAAGTTACACGATAATTTGAATTGCTCTAAAAGTACAATTTATGCTCCATTTCTAAATGACATTGCAGAAGATGAAATTGTTGACAATTTAAAATATCAGGGAGTTACTTTTGTGTATAAATTCACAAAAAATATAGAAGGCAAACAAAGACCTATTGGTGTGATACTTCTTTCATTTGACCTCTACAAACTTTCAGAAAAAAACGAAGTCTCATGGCGCATAATGCGGATTAGAGCATATTTCCCTAACCCCATGAGGTGTAGAAGTTGTCAGCTTCTAGGTCACACAGCGAAACGTTGCAACAACAACCCTGCCTGCGATATGTGCAGTTTCCCTCCTCATCTCCCCTCGCCATGCAACAGCACATTTTGTGCAAATTGCTCAGGCGATCMTCCTTCCTCTTCACGCTCTTGTCCTAAATACCTAYAATCCAAAAATATTCTAAAAATAAAAACAGAAAATAAATGCTCAATGCGAGAAGCACTAAGGCTATACAAACAACAATTAAACCCGACCCCCGCAAACACTTCTTTCGTTTCTGTTACAAAAGAAAATGCAAACAAGTAAATAACAAACGAGATTTCCCACCGCTTATCATCTCCTCCCCCACCACTCTCCACAGACACTGTACTAAAATCCCCAACAGCTTATSCTCTTCCACAACCAAARCAAACCATGATAATAAACAAAAACAACTTCGTAATTGATAACCATCTAAACTCAAAAAACCTTCCTAGCCTAACGCTTACCCAAACAAAAACAAACCCAACCAAAATAAGCATACCACTCATTCCTAAAATATCGACAACAGATTCTCTTAAAATCCAAACTAACTCTCTCTCTACAGACAATATCAATATTCTCGCTCCACCTACTTATTCAGAATATATATCACCTCATATAATTACTACATCTGACCATGAAGATCAATAACWCTCATTATCCCTCCTCTCCTTTTCTCCGCAAACACCCGTACTTATACTTGACGATTTCAATGCCTGGAGCCCTCTTTGAAGTTCCACATGTACTAACCAAAGAGGTAAAATCATAGAAGACCTTCTATTAGCAGAAAACTTAACAATTTTAAACGACGGTTCTCCTACGCATTTTTCTATACATAATTCGTTCACGAATGTAAGCCTGGTCATTTTTTCTTCTGCTATCGCTCCCAAACTTTACAGCAAAACACTAACTGATCTTTATAACAGCGATCATTTCCCCATTATAACCCAATTATCAACCCCTTTATCCAGAAAAGGGTCGGCGAAGCCAAAATTTCTGTTGGACAAGGCTAATTGGTCCAAATTTCAACAACTCTGCGAAAATTTGTCTGCTGAAAGTCCCATAGACGATAATATAAATAAAGACACAGCTACGATTACCAAAATAATCAAAACTTCTACTCACATATTTAAATAAAAACTTTCTCAGTCAAAACCAAGTGGCATTTAAGGCCGGGCAAGGCACTATGGATGCTTTACTCTATTTTGATGATTTCGCCAAAACTGCTTTATCGAAAAGAAACCACATATCAACTCTCAGTTTGGATTTCGAGAAAACTTTCCACAGAGTTGGTTCTCATGTCATTCTACAACAACTTGAGAAGTGGCAAATTAGTGAAAAAATATTTAACTTTATTAAATCTTTCCTAATTAATAGGAAATTCATGACTAAAATAAATAACACTTTTTCGAACACGTACAATATGTACAACGGAATAGCACAAGGATCACCATTGTCTGCCACTCTATTTGTAATCGCATTTAACGAAATCAGTACGATAATCTCTAAATATAAACTCATTTCGCATATTATTTATGCTGATGATGTGCTGATCTTCTCCAAGCAAAATAATCTTAATACTGTTAAAAATTCTTTCTGATATTTCAAATTGGTCCAATTGTTCAGGTGCGAATATTTCTATAAACAAATGCAAATTATTCCATATCTGTAGAAAACACAAATGTAATAACTTCTATCTTAACTACAACAATGTAAATATTGTAAATTCTACTAGTCTTAAATTTCTAGGTTTAATATTTGATAAGAGACTTACTTTTAAGGAACATTGTACAAATTTACGTAAGCAACTAATTTCTAGGCTTAATATAATTAAGTATCTATCATCAAAATATTGTTTAATTCACATTTCTTCTCTCATCAATATTACAAGAGCTTTAATTTTATCTAAGATTGATTATGGTCTCCCTATCTACGACAATTGTGCCAAAAGCAACATAAAGCAAATCTTTGCACCATATTATGCAGCCGTTAGAAGAAGTATTCGGGCATTCCCAACATCACCAATAAAGTTCACATTAACGGAAGCCGGACTCCCATCCATCGAGGAAAGAGTTTTACATACTTCGCAAAAGCTTATTCCAAAACTACTATTGTGCAATAACAAGCTCTTATATCGTATAGTAAAAGCCAAATGGACCGCAAACTCCAATACTTCTTCCACTGTTTCTAAATGCATTAAATTAGCTAAGGATCTAGGTATAACAACTACACCTGAGGAAAAGTCTATTTCTCTTGCCCCATCATGGCTACTCAAAGAATCTTCGTTCGAGGTACATCTTCAAAAACATCATAAAAATAACACCAATTCCAGGGTATATCAAAGTTTGTTCAAAGAGCTCATTGTGCAACACTACGTAGATTGGCAATTCATTTTTACTGACGCTTCGAAGACCAACTTCTACACGTCTTTTGCTATTGTTGATAACGTTGGAAATAGCTGGACTCCTGCCCAATTACAGCTCAGTATACACCGCAGAAGCAGCAGCCATCTATAATGCGCTATCCCTAGTACAAAAATCTAACTTTAACATTAATATGTACTGATAGCAAGTCTACAATCTCAGCTCTCCTAAATGCATCTAACAAATCCTATCTTATTGCGCAAATTAAAAACATACTATTTGGGAAACAAACATAAAAATTTTGTGGATCCCTGGACACGCCGGTRTTACTGGAAATGAATGGGCCGATCAAAACGCCAAATTGGCGGCAGAACAGCCATTGCTTGTCTTCGACTACATCGAAAAAAACGACATAATCCATTTAATCGCTTCAAAACAAAAAGCTATAAAAGTTAATGCTTGGAAGAATGTGCAACACCACTACGCCATCTGCAGCCAAGAGGGTAAAAAACCTGCTTATCCGCCGTCAGGCCGTTGCCAAAGCGTTCGCCTACGCCTTYGTCTTAGTCATACGTCATTAACGAATTCCCATTTATTAAATGGAAACCTTAATTCATCCTGTCTATATTGTACTGTACACATCTACTCGATGAATGCCCCTTCTTCAATTCAGCAAGGACCAGTATATTTCGAATAATAAAGCTCATGATTTATTAAAAATAACGTCTATTGTAAACATCACTAAAATATCTGAGTACCTATCTCGTACAAAATTAAAGAAATATGTTTAAATTATCCCTCCTGTTTCAAATTTATTTTTAACATATATTTTTAGTTCATAAAAACATATTGCTTGTAAATAATTCTTAAATGGAAGGTTAAATCTTTATTATTTAAGTCGGTTATATTAAAACCGTATGTATAATAATAATTGTATTTTGCAAGTAATAAATAAATAAATATGAGGTATTGTTGAGTTTATTCAGTATTCAAGACCTATTTATATAATATAACTGTTGGTATATGTATGTATGTACACATATGTATGCTTACTTCTCTATGCAATCGATGGGCTCCAATTCCTTTTGAATTTTCTTTTCACATGATGAGGTGTTATTAACTGCAGCATCTGAAAATAATTAAAGTTTATCTAATTTATAATATCTATTTAATTGTTGAGTAAAATACATATGTATACTTTTTGAATATATTATATTATTTGTAGTATATTTCATATATGTATAAGTTTATCATTGAAGATAGGTAGACAAATATGTACATTATTCTTAAATTTTAAAAAATTCTCTTGTTTGAAGCTATTAAAAGCGATATTACTTCTACTGTCGGAAATTATTGTAAAATTAATGAACATGTAATAATTTATTATTTTCCTGTTTATTCAAAGCAGGATACATTTTCACTCTAATCCAATGACCACTAATTTCTTGCGAACAGGTGCTACTTCGGACTAAGTAGGCAAATTAGAAGTAAAGTCCTCTCTCGACGATCAAAACCTCTATAAGTCAATCATAATTCCCACCGTTGACGTTGCGAGTTTTCGAGAGAAAAGTTCTGGGAAAGATTTATGGTACTTTGCGAGTTTCCCGAGGCGAATATCGCATTCGATGGAACGATGAGTTGTATGAGATATACGACGACATTGACATAGTTCAACAAATTAAAAGATAGTGGCCACGATGACTAAGTCAAGTCGACCGAATGGACGATAGCACTCCCGCTCTGAAAGTATTCGACGCAGTACCCGCCGGGGGAAACAGAAGAAGGCTAAGACCTCCACTCCGTTGGAACCTGGACCTTTTTTCGCTTAGAATCTCTAATTGGCGCATCTCTAATGGCCGCTGTTGTTAATTCGGCTATAGCCGCGTAAACGGTTTCTTCGCCAGTAAAGAAGAAGAAGATATGTTAAGGTTCCTAACGTCTTTCTTCAGAGATACATTAATCCTTTCTTGAAACGAAATGTTTTCTAGTTGATTTTGCTGCAGAGATTTGGTACATAAGTATAACACTCGATTTTTTATAGCAAAAATTATGTGAACAAAACTATTATACTTTGTACCAAGTTATTTTCGTAGGTATACCTTTATATGCGGTATAAAGTCAACCCGAAGTTCGAAAATATTTACACTAGGTAAATGTTGACTAAGGGAAGTATTGATCCATATATATGTATATATATATATATAATTTTGGGAAAAAGGCATGCCAGCATCACAAAAATATTCTCCCCAATTTTCAATACTAGAACTCACGGATTGACAGATATTTTCGGTACAAAATCAGCGCAATGACTGGTTCCAAATAATTAAGGTACAGGTCTTTGAAATATTTTAGAAGAATAGAACGTGGCATTGTTTCGCCGATCTGGAATATCAATCTTCTTTGGGTGCCAAGGAAAACGTGTATCAAGTTACATCAAGATATCTAAATTTTTCCTCAAATCATCGCTTGTATGGACAGACATTCAACCGGATTTGGCTCCAAAAGTGCTAAATTTAATAGTTCAGGTATATGATAAAAAGAAAACAAAATAATTGAAGGTCATTATTTTGCGAATATTAGGTTTAAACTATTTCCATTTATATTAAACGCAAATTACATTCTCAAGGAGGTAGGCGAAGGTCTGGACTGATTGCATTTACTTTTCAGAATACTTATTAATAATAGATGACTGACACACAGACATCCGTCGTGGGCGTTGGGCGTGTTCGGCCCAAGTCTGCTACAATAACAAAAGTTCGTATATTAATTACCGCATATGCGATATATATGTTCACTATATTTTAATAACATATTTTACATAATAGCGATTTCAAGGCAATCAAAATTGAAATTTTTAATTAGATGTATGGGACATGAACCTCATAAAATCTCCTGCGAATGGTAGGCACCTTGCCGTGGTGCAGGGGCTTAGGCGCAAGGCGTACTCGGCATCCTCCAACCCTTTACGGGGCTGGGTCCCCATACCATGAAGGAGCTGCTCCGCAAGGAAGAAGGATTGGGCAGGGAGGAGCATTGGCAACAAACTCACGGTATGAGACATGCCAAGTTGCTATTGGGAGSTTACAACTTGAGAAGGTTCAAAGCTGTAATAAACCTCCCCAGAAACAAACTCAGGTTACTAATCGCATGGTACTCTGGCCACTGCAAACTGAATAGGCATCTGCATAGCATGGGCCTATCCTCTTGCGCTAACTACCGGTTCTGCGGCAGGGAGCCTGAAACCCCGGATCACCTGCTGATCGACTGCACAGCAGTCTGTAGACGCAGGATTAAGGACCTTGGATCGATGTTTCCGGATAGGGATCGCATTGCCTCATTAGCACCCGGTAAGCTATTGAATTTCATCAATGCGCTGGGGCTAAGAGAGACAATGTGAGTCAGGAGAGGTCACAATGCATTCACGGTGCATTCCCCATCTTTCAATCAATCAATCAACCTCATAAAGTAAACCTCACAAAATTTTTCTTCACAAATCAGTTGTGAGGTTTTTTCACAATAGGGAAGTTAATATAACTTATTAAGTGTGAATTCCTCTTGAATATCAAAATAAAGTTTATATTTTCTTGTGTGCAGTACGTATTTATATTTCGCTAGACTAGATCTAATAAAGAGGAACACTCAATTTATACTCATAATTGAATTACACTCAAAAAATTAAGAGACATTAATGTGATTTACTTACTGCAAAAAAGCATTACATTCTTAAATGGAAATTGAATCGAGATTAATCAATTGCCGCTCTTTGCTCTTAAAACACAATGCAGCGACCAATTATACGAACATATGTACTATATATGAATGAATTGCTGCGACTATGTATTACAACAAAGGGAGTACAAAAACACCGATGAAATAAAACGACGAATGACAATATGGCCAAGCATTAATTGTACATAATTGAATTACAATTCGCCGACAAGCGCATGAAAGTGACTGAAACGACCACAGAAAACGCTGCCACAAGCTTCTTAATATGAGTTCAGTATTCCCGCAAATAATATTAAACGATCGAAAACTCAGTAAATAAAATGAGCAATAGTGTTATAATTATTTCTTAGTGAAGAACGTTTACTTTTCTTCTTTTCACGTTAGAAAACGTTGTTGTAACCATTAATTTTTGTTTTAGAAAAATTCTTGTAATTAATTTTTAGTCTTAAGTTTTAAAAATCTAAGAAACCAAAAAAAATATATACTATATGTACTTGCATTTGTCTTTTGAACAAAAAAAAAAAAGCTAAGCTAAGAGTAAGCTAAATTATGCAAAACAAAACATGGCAACATTGAAGAGTCGTCGTTTTTGAACCATCACCCCACATGTTTCTCGGAAAGCCCACGTTTAATCTCTTGACAATTCTACACGTCGCAAACTCATCTTCTGACAGACGGAAAAATGCGGTGATGGTAGTAAACGGCGGGATTGCAACTCAATCTCGCAGGTTTGCCTCTTTAAAACACACGCGCTCGCCGTTTGAGAGGTGCACAACAAGATGGGTCACAGTTTTTCATGTAACATAAACCGAGGATTTTCCGTGCCGCTTTTTTACTACTTACATATCGGCCCATCCTTTACGTCAATCGAAGCGTTACTTCTTTGTCTTACAGTAAAAATGGTCTGGTCTGATCTTAGAGTCTATAAAAAACTGTATTTCACCGAACACCTGATCTTTAGTAAAGAGCCAGTTTTTGTAACTTTATACGAAAATCTTGAGCATAAATGTCACGTCGATCCATTGCTTTTTAAGCGGCCATCATTTCGATTCAGGCTGGGTTACATGTTATCGTAATGAATATGCATCTTGAGTATACTCATGCAAATAGAAGAAGATCGAATAGCAATTACCAGTCTGAATCCCGAACAAATAAGCGACGGGAGCCGATGGATTGCCGACCGAGCTATTCAAATACGACGGAGAAGAACTGATAAAGAGCATACATCTGCTTCTTTGAAGAATATGGTCGGATGAAAGCATGCCCAACGATTGGTATTTAAGTATGTTCTGCCTGATCCACAAACAGAAGGACCCCTCAATCTGTACCAACTTCCGTGGGATAACCCTCCTCAATATCGAGAGTAATGCCTGATAGATTAAAGTTCACCGTCAAAAAACTGATTGGACCTTATGAGTGTGGATTTAGACATGGAAAATCAACAACCGACCAGATATTCATCACGCGCCAAATTTTGGAAAGGCCCGTGAAAGGAAAACCTCTACGATAATTTTAACGCTCCTTTCGACAGCACGAAGAGGCGACGTCGCGGTTAGACAAGCACGGCAAGACGAAATATCTCCTGTCATCAACTTGGCTCTCACGTCACGGTTGACATAACTTTGAAGTCGTAGAGAATTTCATCCATCTTGGAACCGGTATAAACACTACCAACAATGTCAGCCTGGAAATCCAACGCAGGATAACTCTTGCCAACAGGTGCTACTTCGGACTAAGTAGGCAATCGAGAAGTAAAGTCCTCTCTCGACGATCGAAAACCAAACTCTATAAGTCACTCATAATTCCCACCSTCGACGTTGCGAGTTTTCGAGAGAAAAGTTCTGCGAAAGATTTATGGTCCTTTGCGCGTTGGCCACGGCGAATATTGCATGAGCTGTATGAGATATACGACGACATTGATATAGTTCAGCGAATTAAAAGACAGCGGCTACGCTGGCTAGGTCATGTTGTCCGAAAACACACAGCTGGATGCGCTTGGAATATCTAATTGACGCCAGTTATTGAAAAAAGAAACGACTGGCGCGCTGTTGTTAACTCTGCTATAATCGCGAAAGCGGTGTCTACGCCAATAATGAAGAAGAAAAAGTATGGGATGTACAATTGAAATTCAGATAGAAATTTTTCCTGATAATAGTATCTTTGCATGTCAAGTTTTCGTCCAATTTTTTTCATTTTAGGTACAAAGGAACACTGTTATGAATAAAGCACGCCTTTTCACTTGCATTGAGATAACAGGAACTTTGCCGATAAACGTGGTATAAATTTATTCGGAAGTTCGAAAATCTTTGTTTATTTATTTTATTGGGGCTTAAGTATTGTCGCGAAGTATTGACCCGTTTAAACCCATTTTTGGCACACAGATAAAAAGTCGCCTACAGG